TTTTCATGCTCACAGGCACACATGTTTATTAGCTGAAATGCATCTGCTTTAAAAACAACTTTCTCCTCCACCTTCTGCTCAGAAAAATAACAAATGACGATGGTCACAGTCTAACGATGACTTTCTACATTTTCACTGACTTTAACAAACTAAAATGAGATCATTTGCAGATGGATAATTCCCCACAGATGCTGTACACTCCTCTCAACTCCTGCTTTGCATAATTCTTGTCCGGGATTTATATAAAATTTAAAAAAAAATCTCTGTGGAGTTTAAAAATCAGATCCCATGCTGTTGCTGCTGCAAACATTTCATCTACTGATTAGTCAACCTGAACTGCACACAGTTTCTGTGGTGATTTGATGTTCAAAGGAAGGTGTAAATAACACCCTTCAATTTAATTCAAATCTTGATTATTTTTCATTATGTTTTTTTCATCTGTCATGAGATTCAAAGACTCTAGTGTTTACTGCCTTGTAAAGGCAGTAAACACTTAGTTTTCTTAGTTATTTTCTTAGGTTGATTTAAGGAAGTTGTAGGTTGTACCTATCTCCAGCAGTCATTATGTGAGAGGCAGACTACATACTATATAGGTCACCAGATCAACACAGGGCAACATGGAAACACACAGAACAAACAACCATGCATGCACTCACTATGTATGTAGAAAGACTAATTAACCCAACAATCATGTTTTTGGACTGTGGGTGAAATCTGGAGTAAAACCTGTGCATGTGTAGGGAGAACATGTAAACTCCATGCAGAGAGACTCCTGGTCGAAATTCTTGCTGCAAGGCAACAGTGCCAGCTGTGCAACCAGTTCAAAAAGTATGAAAATGATCTGAGAGAAATATATTTGCTTTTTTCAAAAATATGATGTTAGAATATATTGTACTGTAATGATAAAGATTTTTCTATCTGAAATAGTGGACATTTGACCAAAATGTTACATTCTCGCTACAGGTTACATGTACAAATCACCTGGGGTGGACTTGAAGAGTGGTGCAAAATCTGGATGCTTTCACAATAACTAAAATCACAAAACTGACAGTAAAGGAAAATTAATGTGATTTTTAAGCCTGAAATTACTGGGCCTTTAGTTTAAAAGTATGTTTGTGTGACAGGAAGATTGTTATAGTTTTTACATGTTAGAAGGTGGAACCAAAGAGTTTTTCTCACAAGAACAGTCATATATTAGCCGGAGGATATCCGGGTGGGTTCACATGTTTGGGTCACTCTTTGTTTGTCCAAGGTGACAGACCTGGTTTGAAAAAGCCTCCCGTATTCCTCAGATGTGTCTAAAGACATGTGGCTCCAATTACTCTCTGGTTTCTTTGAACAATAGAAAAGCTTGTTGAAAATTTATAGAAACTCTAATGATGTGTGTGAAGGGGTCAGAAGGCGAACTTCAGGAATATTACGCAACATATGTGTATTTAACCATGTGTTCATGCTGGGTGAAAGGCTCCAAGAAATAAAGCAAAGAAATATTTTCCTTTTTAAATATTTTCAAATGTCTGCTGATTTAAAATCATAAATTTAAAATGAGTTATGATTCCCAAAATTATTTTAAGAGACTATTGTTGTGTTCAAGTTGTGCGAAAGAAGTTGGTTTGTCACCGAAGCTATTCAAGGCTAAAATACCAAGTCAGTGCAAAACATGTTTTTCCATTTCTAGTATCAGTGTCCACATTTTTTTTCAAAGATGCTACGTGAATGATCAAGTGTTCCTGAAACACTTTAAAACTGAATAAGTATAATAATACATTGCACAAATCTGGTGGTTGAAAGACCTAAATAACAGATTAAAGCCAATAAATATATTTGTTGTTGAGCTTATATAATCATCTTATGTCATTACATAATCAAAAAACATTGAAAAATACCAACACACATACAATGCTGATATGTATTCTGTCTAGTCATAACATGACACAATAAGTCATAAGGTCTTGACCTGACCCAAAGTCACACACATCAGTCGTCTTCAGAACATCAGCAGCAGCAGCAACAGGAGTTGTGATAATAGCATCCATATTAGTCATTGCGGTAAAATTGCTTTCATGATACTAAATTAAATTAATCAAGCTTTGGAACAGGACTTCTACTGAAATTTTTCTTGATGTGAGCTCTTTGAATTGATGTTTGTCAAGTGCATCCCACAAATGGCCATTTTTAGAGATCTCTGGGTTAAATCTGTTTTTTAAGGCCACCAGCTTTCGCAAATAATTTTTAACCTTTTAAAAACTATGTGAAGGTATATTATCTTGCTTAAATGTGATCAGTGCTATCAGATAATGCAATTTCCAAACATAAGTTTAATTTGCCCACCACAAAGATTGGGCCTCTTGTAGGGATAAAATTATCATCAACACTACCCAACATCTCAATCTGTATCCAGCAGCTGTTCACAACCTTTTCAAATCATACTATACGAGCGAACCAGTGTCCCACTCTCTAGGTAAATTTTAGGCCTTACAGAAAACTAAGTACGTGAGCTACATCGCAGTCTTAAAGTAACCTATAGAGACTGAAGAGCAGTAAAAACAATTTACTAAAAGGTGAATCCTGGGGTCTTTAATGAAGGTTATGGGAAACCGCAAACAGGGTGGGGTCAGGACTCTAGACAGCTTCCATGTGTTGAATCAATTCATAAGAAGAAAATCTCATTAAAGCCACCCTTCCTCTTAGCATTATCACCAATAGGAAACGCATTTAAATACTACATTTTGTCTCTTTGAAACACTCAGTTTGCAATCTGCTCTGGAGAACAATAAGAGAGAGTGATGAGTGAATGGGGGAGCGCATATCGACATTTTCTCTCACCTCTCTCGTCTTAATGCATCTCATTTTCCTTCAAAGCTCTTTTGTTGAGCACCTTTCCTTCCCCATCAGCCTTCATCAATCTCCTTATCCTTGCTGGGTGAAAAATTACACCCATTACCTTTGACATGTAGTACACAGAAATAGCATTCTTTCTACCAAAAAGCATCAGGTAAAACAACTTATAGGGACTCATAAGATAGCAGCATGACGGCAGTGTAGCATAAATCACTCCCAAACATTTATACAACTTTAATACAGCAGACACAAGTTAAAAGTGATGCAGGTAGAGTAAACTCAACAATGACATATGTGTGTTGTTTATCATACAGAAAAATGCTGTTTTGGTCACCATTCTTTGGAATAATACTCTAATTAAAACAATCTCAGTCAGATTGAATGGAGAACACCTCAACAGAAATTCTTGCCTCAGATTCTCTACTGATTGTTGGTTTGTTTTTATATTCAGAATCTCTTGTGTGGTTTGGGTGCGGCTGCTCCTGGGCCTCCTGCAGCTGATGGCGCCACCACTATTTCCCCTCCGTTCATCGCAGCATAAAGCTGTGTGAGGTGCTATTAATGGTGACTAATTGGCAATGCACAGACTGTCCGAGCTCATGAAGAAGTTTGTGTCACGGTCTGATGGTGGCAAAGAGAAAGTTGTTATGTAGATTCTTGTTTTTGGTGAATTCTTGATTGAGTTTGCCAGTTTTCTCTTATATTCCAATCTTCAATTTGTCCTTTCTTGTCTTTCATATATGTATCTACATTTTATTTTATAAATGTAAGCCTTTATATGCTTTTTTGTTTCTGGCTTTTCATTTCCTTGCTAATTTTTTCCCTCTTATTCCTACAGCCAAATGCAGAGAATACACCATTTGGCCTTTCAAGTACATAAATGCACTCTATTCTACAGCAGTTTTTGTATCTCTTCCTGTATATTTAGAGTCATTGTGAATGACTCAATGCAACCTGTGTGGGGTTGATTATATACCAAATGTCTTAAATAATGAGCTAAACATAATGCCCTGTTTGATAACCAGGATTAATTAGGATCATTGTATGATAGAATTCAATTGACCTGTTTGCATAGTATCTCAAGACAACATTTGTTGCGAATTGGTGGCATGTAAATCACCAATTATATAGCAATTTAAATACCAGTTCAACTGAACTGAACTGTCCTGCTAGAAGGTGAAGGTAAAGTATTCTGCAGCCTCTAACAGGATTTCATGTGGAGTTGCTCTATATTTAGCTCCACCCATAATCTCATCATCTGACCACATGGTGGCATTTACATCACCACCATGTTTCACACTGGAGATTGTTTGGTATTCACACTAATGTGGAGTTGTAGTTTTCTTCCACATATTTTTATGCAGCCCAAACAGTTTGATTCCCTGTTTGGCTTGGGGAAAACTACAAAGTTTTTTTTAAATACTCGCGGTCTTCCTGACAATATTTCTGCTGACAGAGGGACCAAAGTTACCATGAACTTCTTGATGAAAAACTTTCATCAAAAAACTACTTTATGTTGATCAGTCATATATAATCTAATTTGTATGTGACAGACCAGCTGTCTCATTACAACCAACACTTTTATGGGAGGAAAGATTTTGGTTGTAAATTAACATAAATTCATGATGATATGAGGCAAATAAAGTACAGTGACTCTGCACTCTTAACATAAGCATGATAAATGATCTGACCACAGTTAGCTTAAGTAAAGATCAGCAGTAGGTTGTGCAATTTACCCTGCATAGCATTAAGGTATTAATTACATGAGGTTCATTAGATTGCAGAGTGTTGTAAAGGAACCTTTAAAGTCTGCAAGTGCAGCACCATTGACTAATCAATTGCCATTACCATGCTCACGACAAAGGTCTGGACTCAAGGGACATGCTGGCTGTTGGTGTAACTCCTCCTTAGAGTTGGCATGATGCACTGCAAAAAAAGAGCAGAATCCAGCGTCTCCAGAGGTATGATTTCAAAGTTCTAATACATACAAAAAGAGGCTGGTTAACAATAACAAACTGTTCTGCACTTGTTTCAGTACCAAAGAAGAAAAAGTTTAGGACACAGAGCACTTGATGAGCTTCAGTATAAACGTAGAGTGAGGATTAGGACTTATGTCTCTGCCTCTGTCTCCCTGTCACCTCTGACCCTCTCTCTTATACGAGAGGGAGGCAGGACGACTGGGAGACTGGCAGCAGGTCTCACTGCTCTGGGGGACAAACTGTACGTCAGCCAACAAAAAACTATTTCAATAAATCCGCACAGAGACATTATCTCATATGGATACAGTCATCAGTTAGTGACTAACAGCTGGTTCCTCGTTTTATGTGGTTTGGCTTTTATTAAGGAGGACACGTTTTCAGAGGAATAATAAAGATGATTAAGGACATGATTCAGCATGCGAAGAAACATCCAGGGGTAGGTTGGATTACATGTTATTTGTTGAACCTTAATTCTTTTTGAGAAATGAGTCTAGACACAATTGTAAGGATTAAAAAACATTTTAAACTATTGGATAAATGCAAGAAGTACAGACAAGCAGTATAGATTGGATGCATAATTTTTTATGCACAAGTTTCTTTAATTTATTTGTAACATTTTTTTTTTAGAAAAACAATATGCAACAAAGATATAACACAGATAACAATGCTTTACATAGAATGTTTGAAATACAATATGAGGCAAATATGACAAAGAAAACTACAAAATGTAAGAGCTAGAGGTGTTGCCAAAGACAAACAAAATCCAGTTCTCCAACAGTTTTTTGCCATGAAAACACCTATTAATGAGAATTAAAAAAAATAAAAAAATACAATACACCCAACACAGAAAAAAGGTGAACTCTTCAGCTGAAAGCTCCAGATACTCTGGAAACTTAAAAGACCTTCGAGTGTGAGTTCCTAAATAACATTCAAATGTTTGAAACCAGCACTGTGACAGCACATAATTTCCCTAGCTTCTTAATTTGCTTTACTATCTTAATAAATAAAAAGAAGAAAGGACAACACAAGCTGTGTGCACTTGTTTTTTTTTTCCCCTCTGTTGCCTCAGAGCTATACTGAGGGTGACCCAAATTCATGGACTGACAGGGCTGGCTTGGCAGTACACCAGAAAAGTAATAAGGGCAGCAACAGTATCGAACCCCTGCGAGTATAAAACACTTCCTATATTGGTCAGGCTGGATGGTGAAAGGTGAACCTCTCAGTTTGTGGCTCAGTGTGAAGATATCAGAACCATGCAGTAGATGACTTCCTATACACGAGCATGTCTTCATTATTTGCTCCTTGTTTGTGTGTATGTGTCAGATCAAAGGTGACCTGCTTCTGTGTGTGTGTGTGTGTGTGTGTGTGTGTGTGTTTGCTGCTTGTGTTTACTCTGGTGATGACAGAGCTGATGCTTCTGCACTCAGTGCATAGTGTGCGTGTGTGTGTGCTCTATGAACCAATTTCCAAGGTCATAGAGTCTGCAGAGATGCTTTACACTGAAAGTAAGGTTTCCCATACAGAATTTAATGATAAAATAAAATACTTTTGTACGTGGTAGTTTCAGATTTATCATCTTAAAGTACATTTTGCATACATAAGAAATTGTCTTTGAATTTTCTGCAGATAGTTTCAATGAGAGGAGTGTTTAAACATGAAATCTGGAATAGCTTGAACTGTGAGGAGATGAATGGCTTATGGACAGACAGATGGATTACAGATGATAAATCAGTGGACAAACTGATGGATGGATGACATGTGGATGGGCAAAAAAGCAAATGGGCAGACAGAGAATGTAGAATGAAGACAATCTATAAAGCAAAAGGCAGCAAACGTATGGAGGAGAGCAAATACAAGCTGGAACATCAGGTCCTCAGATGGTCCACAGTAGTAATAAGTGTTGCATATGAAAGGTAGACGCTCAACCTAACAACCAGTGTGCTGGAAGACTCATAACGGTGATAAATGAATTTAGAGATGGATGATGGAAGGATGGATAGTGAGTATCGACAAACTAATGATGGATGGATTTCAAATATGCTCCTGAACATGTTTTGAAGTGGATAAATCAAGCTTACAATGAGTTTCTTAAATTACTTTCTAAAAATCAACTTAGAGCTAAAATATCTCAACATAGTTTGCACGTGATGATGTTTGATTAAAAGTACTTTTTGAAAACAAAATAATTGTGTTGCCTTGATCATCCAAGTATTTAATGGCTGTAAGTGGAAAATCATAATAAATAACAGAAATAAAAGCTAAAAAGCATCATTCTATGTTAATCTGTATTATGTGTTTCAGTTAGAAAATTAAGTTATGCTCTGTTTAGTAAATTGAGCTAAACTTTAGTCTAGTTTAGCGCAATGTAAACTAAATTGAGCTACTTTAGTTTAATTCAATTTACTAAATTCAAATTTACTAAATTGGAGCTATTTAATAGCAATTTCTTTATGGATCATAGGAAATCCATTCTAAAATTTATTTTAATAAATTTAAACTTGTGCACCACTTCATAGCTGTTTATTCCATAATCTGTTATAACATTATGGAAAAAATATTTATTCCATAAATGTCTACTTAAAATCGTGATTTTATGTAGACACCAACACAATCCCAAATTTAATATGACATTCATGGTCATAATAAAAGGGAACTAATTGTTAGTTTGCACGATTACCAAAACGTTTTGAAACAGCTAGCTTCCTACTTTAAACTGAGAGAATGTGAGATTATTTATGACCCATTGTATCTTGGTGGGCTGTCTCTTACAGGACGATGCTCTTTATTAAAAAGAGATTCATTCAAGCAACCAAACCATTGAATTTAAATGTTCCAATCAATCCCACAGCTGTTCAGACATAAAGCTGCAGTCCCTGTGAAAAAACACAGAGTTCCTTTAAATCAAGACTAAAAACACAACTGTTTAGATTTACTTTTGAACTATTATAATTAGAACATTGACCAACATATTATATGATGTGTATTGATGATGGCACTTGATAAAATGTAGTATTTGTTCCTGCATCAGATGCAGTGTTGAGAAGCACTGATTGAATTTTATAGCAGAGGAGAGATTTTCTTTGGAGCCACAAATCATGCATCTCTTTCTGGTAATCCAATAGATGTTTTGCAAGACTCAGCTCCTTAGTTCCAGTGAAAGTAAATGCTCAGCATGGGAACAGTGTGGAGATAGCTTTCCTGTTCCATCCTGACTGGCTACAATACAAAAGTCGAGGTCCGGAAACACATAAATGAGCAAGTTTGTTGTGAAAGAAATTGACTGGCCTGCACAAAGTCCTAACCTCAACCTAGCAGAACACCTCAGGGATATATTAGAGCAGACACTGAGATCCAGGCCTTCTTGTCTGACACTAGTGTCTGACCTCATAAATGCTCTTCTGGAAGAACATTTCTAAACCTTGTGGAAGAAATTCCCAAAGAGTGTAAGCTGTTTTAGTGGAAAAGGCTGGGCCAACTTGATGCTAAACCCTATGGATTAACAGGGGATATTACTCAAGCTTATCTGTGTGTTGAGACATACAAGCGAAATCATTTGGTAACATAGTGTATTTTAACCTGCAGCCCTCACAGTTATGAACATGGGGCTAAGGGAAAGGTTTTAATCTTTGAATAGGAGTAGAGGTAACATTGTGAAATGGATTAAGCCAAACAGTAAACAGTTGGATTTATTCATGAAAAGATTTATAGCATGCTCCTTCCTTTATGGGAGTAGCGTTTTCTCTAGAAGTCCTTTGTGGTTCTGTGTACCTGAGGGAATACTGCTGTATCCACCAGAAGTTTCAATGTTGTTAAGAATTAAAGTTTTATCATTAGACATCTTTCTAATCAACAACTAGGCGAGTGGCATTACATTTAGCGGAGGACAGATGTCTGGATGCAGCTGAGTAGAGACATCCTTCAGTTCAACCTGATCAAACTGTCAGCTCTCTACAGCTTGACTAGATCTGTGTGTGCCGCAAACAGATGTTCGCCAGCGGTGTGGCTCTCCCTCTGATTCGTGCATGGTAAAAACAGGCAAGAAATATAAGGCAGTTAAGTGTCGACAAATAGATGCAGCGCGGTTTAAGGTTTCTCTCACCTAAGCTTAGGTGTTTAAGATGACAAATCACATAATCCTCCTGTCCCTTTAACATGCTTTTTTATTTTAATTCCCATCTGAGTCACCAGTCAGAACCTCTGCACACACATTTGCTGACAGTAGTGTCTAAATTTACTGAGTTTGTGTGAAAGTGTGTGTTTTGCTCAATCTGACAGCTATAGTGTTATAGGAAGAAAATCTGCTGCAAACACACACAAACACACACACGCACACACACACCCGCAGACACACGTACAGATGATGGTTCTTGCTTCTTTAGTGTCCTTGCCTTTTCAACCCGTGCTGACAGTGAGCAACCTCGCACATGGCCTGAGCTTCATGCATATGCAAAAGGGCACAGAGAGGTGAAAGAAGAATGATAATAACTACCTGTATGCGTGCGTGTGTAGGCGTGTGTACGTGTGTGTGGGTTCCACACAAATGCATGTTCATATAGCCAATGGAGTGACGGGATGCAATGTACTTATGACATGTATCATAGTGGTCTGAGACTAATTTGTCCTTTCTCCCCTGCCTTTAGTTAATCCCTCAGTTTTTCTTCATGACTCTGGGCATCTCAGGGGCCACACTCTACCTCATCCGTCTGGCAAGAGGGCCCCATGTCACGTAAGACTGCCTGGTTTAGTGAATTTACTTCTGCTGCCGTTTGTCTCCAAACAACCACAAACTTTGATGGGACAGTATTGTGTGTTCTTCAGCCACATAGTGTCATTTTATAGCACAATGAAATAACTGCGTTAACTTCAGTTGTTGTAAAAATGCTATTGGTATCAAATATGACTGAAAAAATTTGAAGTAGTTATATAAAGACTTGAAATTGCGCCTCTATCTCTTGAAAACCTGGTCTTTCTGAAACTCCGCCTGCAGGAAGTCATCACATCATCTCTCCTCTATTAACCCTTTACAACATTTTTACCAACAGTGCTATGAGAAGTAGCTTGTATATATTGACCTCAAAAGAGCTTCCTAACTTGAATAGCATATTTTCTAATCTTTCCCATCTCAAAGAAGGGCTGAGATTAGGATGTCTCAGAATCACATTATTCATATCAGCAGGAAAAGGAAGTCATGGATTATTAAAATTCTTGGAAAATTGAAAAGTAAAGCACATTTTAAAATGTGTGTCAGGTCTACTTTGTAAGTACTGACATGAGTTTCAAGTGTCATCTGTAATTTTGACCAAAAACAAGTTTCATATATTAAACTTTTTAGGTTATTTAATATAAAAAATTACTTTGTGCTCCTACAGTAAAACTGTGAATTTAGTATTTAGTTATTTTTATTTTATTTTACATTTTAAAATACTTTACCACAGGTGTGTATAAATGTTGAGGGGGTTGTACTTGTTGTATTAAGTCATGAAGTTGTAATATTATGCTCCTTGCTTAGAGCTGTAAAGCTACTGTTGAGGATTTACCCAACAAAAGTGGAGCGCTGCACTGCTCCTCCCTGCTGCACTGACGCAGACAATCAACATTAAATAATCACAAGAGGGAAAGCTGACCGACTTTCTCATAAAAGCAAGTGAAGTGTGCACAGCAACATCTGGGTAGGTCAGAGGAGGAGTATGGAGCTCTTTGGCCACCATTACTAAACACATGCTATGTAAAAAAGAAAAAGAAAATTAATAGATTAGCAAAGTTGCCAACTCAAAAGCATGGGGGTGGTAATGTTCTACTTAGGGATTATGAAGTAACTAATAACACAGGATTCAAGTTTACCTAAAATAAAATGGAAGGATAGATTCTGCTAAAGTTAGCAGAATCTAGGTCCAAATGTTATGCAGTCATTAAAGAAAGTGAACGAAAAGCCTCTTCAGCAAAACACACCCAGAGCTGAGCTCATCATCCACAAAGAGCTGCTTAGACTAAGCAGAAATTTTGTCTCCCCCATCTGGCAGTAGACCTATTACACAAATGTCCAGTGGCAATGGATTATGGTTTTGAAGAAAAAGTTTTATCATTTTTTTTTTCAATTTTCTTCTTTTTACACTATGATGAACACAGTGAGGTTTTTTTTAGCGAGTGTGTCCATGTTTTTGATGATCAAATGTCGACACACAAGATTCAAAATAAATGGCTGGAAATATGATCATTTTAATTAGACTATGAGTACGTCACATTCTTCTTCTAAAACAAAAAGTGAAGCTTTTGGAACTGCGCTGACTTTTTTTATACTACATGTGCATGCACCTGCTCTGGTGTTTAAAACACCTTCCGCATATTAAGTATGCATCAACGTCACCTGCACCTGCAGAGGGTGCAGGTGAAGTCAATGAATCAAAAGAACTTTAGATGATTTTAGCTGCAAGAAAACTGAAGTTAAACAAAACAAAAAAAAAGCAACAATTAGTGTCTGAATTTTAAAAGTAAGTCTTTGGATTTTTGCCAAGTGCCATCTATTCACACAATACCGTTAAGACAAACAGTCTATATAACAACTAGTTTTTTGCATGGTGAATTTAGCAGGATCACTATATTACTCAAAGATAAAAATAAAGTACAAATAAAAAACATCTTGCACGAACAACAGGTGTGTGTGGAAACACTGAAGTGTTTTACACAGGAAAATATTGGCACCTGGCTTTTTGCAAACAATAAACCTCTACTGTGAGTCAACTACTCACTGTAAACATCAAAGTAGTTTAAAGATTTACAAATTGTGAATTTGTATAAACAACAGATTTTTTTTTATAGTATTACGGTAGACATTTTATCCCATAGTTGCTTATCTCCTCGGGTTAAGAGATTAAATAAGTATGATCCTTCAAACAGAGCCTCTTCAAAACCAAATCATGAATTATCTTTTTTAAAATGGAGTGATGAGCAAGTCGTACAGACAAAAAAATAATAAAAAAACATTGAATTTTGTCTACCAGAGCCCCACCAAGGCAGCGAACTCTGTGACCACTCACGTAGAGTAAATGTAGATAGACAACGTCCCATTTCATGCCACACAGAACCTCTTGTTCTGAGGGTCAGCCATAAAGCCTGACCTCATCACCAGCTGGTGATGAGTGCTATGGTCAGTGGCTGCCTCCCTCGCAGGCTGCCCAGTGTTTGTTGTAATGGACACACAGGGGGACAGACGCGCTCCTTCTGCCATCCCCATTTGTTTGTGCTTTGGCGCCGTAATGTGCTGCTGGAGGGGGAAGTGGAGGAATGGACTGTCGCTCTGGAGTGCTGTGAAATCCAGACTTTGGTTAATGAACAGGGAAAGGACTGCCAATTCACTGGGCTGACTTCATCTCATAATCACTTTTTCCTCTCCTGACTTTTGTCTCCCTTTAGTTTGTGAGTTTCGTTTTGCCTCCGTCATTCTTCTCCTTCCTTTTTATTTCTTATTTGTTACATTATTTGACATCCTGTAATTCTGCCCCAAGTTATTCTGCACTCATTCTTTTATTTCCTCTTATATTCATATTTTGTTCTCCCTTCTTCTCTTTCTGTGGATCGTTCCACGTTTGCAGCTTCTGGGACAAAAAGAACAACCCTGAGCCCTGGAACAAGCTCGATCCGACCTATCAGTACAAGGTGACAATTCCCATCTCATAATTTACAGCTGCCTTCCTCTTCACAGAATTATAATCTTGACAAAACCACCACTGCTTCTCTGAGTCAAAGAAAATCTAGCAAACACCCTAAGCGTATTGTAAGTTCAGTTTATTATTAATAATGATTGAAAAGGTTTTCTATGTAAGCAAAACAGCAGACTGTCACTTATTTGCAGCTTTCAGCTCCTGGATGAGCATGTGGTGACTGCAGAAATATTGATATCTCTCATATTAAGTATGCTTCAGTGTCACATGCTTAAAGCACACAGTGATGTTTGAGATATGTGTTTCAGTGATTCTTGAAAAGAGGGACATAACAGGTCCTATGGATAAAGCACACAATTGAAATAAAATATACACAAAATATAATTTTTTCAAATATCTGACTACACTAACCTGGGCCATGTCACCACAACAATGAATATTTTTCTGGTGTTTGCTGAATATTTTTTATATTAAATATTGTGGATAGTGTCTTTAAAATCTCTTGTCCTGGACCAGAACTCTGACCTCTTTCTTTTTCTTCCTTTGCCAACAGGGCTAAGCAGCTCCAGTTAGCTTATGTTATTCTATAGTGTTTTGTTTAGTATACTGTAAAGATTTCACAGACCTGATGATCAGACTAGCATCATGTAAATTGAGGTCGTTTGGCATTTCATGAACTCCGTCAGTTTTTAACTGACAGTGTGACTCTTTCAGTGATAATGTTGACAAATCTCACTTAAACATGCAAATAGTTCTTTTCAATGTCTTTTACATAAATGACATTTCTTCACATGTATCAAGTATTTCTTTTTAGTCACTTGTTTGTCACCACCTTCAGTTCTGCATCAACTCCTTCAGATGAACTTTATGTTGCTTTTTTATTTCAAATAATATTTCTTGAAACGTTTGTCTGTAAAACTGAGTAAAAATATCACCAATAGGATCTTTAAAAAATAATTTTATATTTATTTTGTCAGATGGCGATGACAAAGTTCTGGGTCAGGTCCATTAAAAATTTTATATATAAAAAAAAATTGCAACTGGGAGCCTGTACCTTAGCATCTTTACATTTCCAAACCATTATTTGTCATATTTGTGTACAGAAGCTTGAGGAATAACTAGAACAAATGTGGGAAAATTTAAACCCATTTTGTCCCACTTCTCAATCATCACTGGTTTATTAAGTCTTGCCCATCTAATTGAAATTTGCTATTTAAAATTGAGACATACTACAAAGTGCATGAGGCTGAGGTGCTTGTCATATTTTTGTCCCTTACAACACAATGAGGTTTCTTCTGATACGCATTTGCAAGGAAAGGCGTATCAGAAGAAACAAATGAACACTTTATTTACTCAATACGAAGAAATCAACCATTTGATTTGCACTGATGTAAATGATGTGATTTTAGAGGAAAGATAACTTTCTGAAGATTTGTAAAGTCAGAGGAATAAAAGTTACTGCAGACGAAAAGTCCCGACGAAACATGTTTAATTCTCACTAGCAAGTCAAAGGTCGTGCATTGAAATTCCACCAATGTCCAAACAATAATCATAATGAGGATGGGGGAGTGAAAGTGAAGAAAGGGGAGAAGCTTTAACTGTTAAATTGATCATAAAAAGTACATGTAGCAAAAATAACCCGTGCAATAAAAAAGCAAGTCTTTTATTTTTAAATGACTGTAATCTCTCCTGAGAATCTGGAGGAGAAAAATGACAAAAATCATTGTAAATCATGTTTGTGCGAGCATGTTTGTACAATTTTGAAGCCCCTCTTCAGCCCCGCTGAAGACAGCGCTGATTAATTTAATTTAAGCAAAGCAGATTTAAATGTATTCCACCTTCCCTCCACAGTTTGTTGCCATCAACACAGACTACAAGAGCCTGAAGAAGGACAGACCCGACTTCTAAAGGTCCTCCAGGCATGTTCAGGGGCACCACGTTCAGGAGGACCTCCGATTACAGCTGTCACCTCACCTTATGTAAAACTGTATGCTCATGTAACCTTGTGTGTACCTCTGCAATGTCAACTCTGAGAAAATAATACAAAGAAGAAAAACATTAAAAGATGGTTCGAATTTTAGAGTGATCAGCTTTATCTTGTAACATTCAACTGATCAGATGATGGCATAAAATGATCCGTGCTTTAACAAGCTTTCCCTTTACATCAAGAGTTCTGCACATTTCATTTACAAAGAGAATTATTTTTTAAAATCTAAATAAATTCAATGTATGTTTGCTTAATTATGTTGCTTGTCGTATTTATAGTGTTTAGTTCACCATTTAGCATTAATAACCAAGAATTTTCAGTGACTACTCCTGACTATTAAACATACGCTCTATCAGACAGTTTCATGCTAGTTTGATTAAAACATATTATTTCCTCTGTCTTGTCCATTTAATCATTTCTTTAGTATTCAGCTTATGATGAAGTCAGTTACATTGGTAGCGTGTTCAAATTTTGAGCAGCAGGACTTTCTCGCACTGAAAGGAGCAAATGATCGGAAATGAATTAGAATTTGTGGCCAATTTGGGTTCATACAGACATAAGTCCAAAATTATTTATTCCCCCTAGCAGATGTTTGTTTAAACTGATCTTTTAATTTTACCAACATGTTTCTTCTGAACAATATTATTGCTCTGGTGTTTCCCAGTCAGACTTCAAACTGAAAGTATCTGTGACAAGAGCGAAGGATTAGGGTTATGGCGAGGAGCCTCTCCAACCTCAAACATTTGGAGCTCATTACTAAATAAAACACCAGTTGAAACATGCAAAAACCTGCTCAAGATTCAACTAAGGCAATGTTCAATGTAATGCCATTAAAGATGTTTTAATTGATTATTAAGAAATAATTTGACTTGCTTTTTTTAGTTTCAATATAAAAGAATAAAAAAAACTATTTTACTTGTAAATTTTAAATAAAATTCTCATTTGAATAAATAAAAATATGAAAGGAAGTAGGACAGAGAAAGACGCGGTGAACGCCCGGGGACGGGATTTGAACTCGGGACCGCTGCATGGAAAACTGTGACCTGAGCAAATGCAGCACCGGCTCTACAAACATATCAGAATAAACCCAAACGAAACGTCTGATCCTTTTTATACATTTACCATTAAATAATAAAAGAGGAAAGTAAACTGCTCACATTATGGCACATTTGGTTTATATTCTGACTATTTTCAGAGAATACAGGCAAAGAAGTTTCTCTGCATCATTATGCACAAATTTTGATTTTGTGTTCAAAGAAAAGAAAAATGAGTTGAATGAATCAGGTGATCAATCATTCTTTCTTTTTTTTTTCTTTAATCATGGCTTCAAACATCTAAGAGAGCAAAAATAAACCCTTCAATCAAGTTTTTATGGGCCTTTGGTGAATTTCTGAATCTATCTCACAAGACACAGCAGTTGTTTCTAGAATGGGAGACAGATCTTTCAGTTATCCGACTCTTGAGGGTCTCAGACACCCTGTCTACTTTTACAACTGATTAAAACTTTTCTTTTGATAACTAGATTCCCGGTAGTTATGATGTAATGGGCCTTGACCACTGCTGGACATACTGGACACTGTTCCTCACTTTGCTATTTTTGCCGACTATGCGCCATTTCTGCATTGTCTGCAGCTATTGCTGCCATTAACTTTATGCTCTCTTTCTCTGTTTTTCCCGATGCATAAAAGTGACACCTGGTCTGGCGTCTCAGTTTAGCTGTGACACCTTTCTGGAAGGAGCCAACATCTAAAGTATGAATTTATGCTCTCTTTCTATAAATTATATGCTTGATTCTGTCTTTCTGTGTTGACCCTTCCCTCTTAGAAAAAGTAATTAAATAAGCAATACATCCCCTCTAGCCTGGGAACACCTTGGGATCCCCCAGAATCAGTGTTGCTGTGGATGTAGACATCTGGGTTTCCACTTTAAATGAAAATGAGATTGACAATTAGGTTGTCTGGTGGTGGTGGGGAATGTGCTAATACTGCAACACCTTCGCAAGAGAACGTTACCTTGAACCTTGAGTTAAGGTTCAAGGTAGGAAAACATTTTATCTGCAAATTAACTTTGGGAAATGAACAAAAAGCAAAGCACAGCTGCTTAGCTAACTTCTGTAACAGACTATGCTCTACTGAGCTCAGAGGATTGCTTATAATTTTCAGAATAAAACATTATTTACTCAGCTAATCACTTCACAAATCCAGCACTGCTGGGATAAGTAAGTCACACATGCATGCATGCTGAGATGTGAAGTTGCAGATAAAAAGGACCAAAATAGAAATCAATCATGAGAGGAGAAGGCTTGTGTGGGTCAGAGAACATTTTTAGACGATTTCAGATGCTGAGCATAAAATATCATTTTCAATCTGGAACTGAGTAAGAGAAATGAATCGGTACTTTCTGCAAATATGTGTCTCCTGGTAGCATAATTCTCCCCTCCTGGAGGAATCAGTGGATGATGAAGTTTTGTCTGTGCGAGCTCGTTTGTGTGCTCCTTAGCATCGGTTAGCATCAGTAGACAGCAGACAACATAAAATCCTTCCCTAATGACACACAAACTTGTCTCAATGTCAGGCCCCTGGGCTCTGCTAATACACTGCTTTATAGACAATCTATGTTCCAGACCCTGCATGGGCCCATTTAGGGCTCCATGTGTGTCTGTGTGTGCACTTTTTTAACAGCAATATGCTTCATCCAACAGCGTAGTGACCTGCCCAGTGGGTACGGTCTGTTATTGTGTGTGTATGTGTAGGTGTGTGTATTCGCTTATGTCAGATACAGAAAACCTGCTGACAGGTAATCAGCCACGCCAAAGCATCACACCAGGGCATAATAGCAAGGTCACACACTCTACAGTTATCCTGCCTGAACAGCTACACTGGTAACTGTGATTGTGTTGCTTCTGCTAATGTAAAACGGTACAGAGAGCACTTCAGGCTCAACACACCAGCTTCCTGATTATAATTAGCACTTCGTTTTATTGCTTTGTTTTTTTTTACAGTCAAGTCCAGGACTTTGTGTTGGGTCACAGTGGACAGTTTGCCTACTTTCATGTTATTTGAGAAACATTTTTGCACCCAAGGCATTTTGGAATCTTGTATCATCACTTGAACCACAAAACAAATGTAATTTCTCAATATTTTTCCAGATATCTGGTATTTATAAAAAATAAATACCAGATCAAAGTTGTTTTCATCAATTCACTGCTAATTTTATCTAAAAAACAAAACAAAAAACAGATCAAGTTTCTATGCAGTTATATGGATCTTAATTCTGCTTTAATTTGAAATTAATCAGATTTATTCAAATTGATGAAACAAAGTAAGAAACGGATCCAGTTGTCTGCTGATCAACATTTAAAAGATGAACTATGAAACAGAACCACTAAGCTTTAGGGGGGACAGAAAGCAAACAGAAACACTGGACCAGCAGTTTGTTTTATGAAAAATATAAAAAGTGTAATATCAATGGCTCTCTAAAGAAAATACAGCTAAATACAGGAACACTGAGTCAGTAGTACTCTGTTTGGGAAGGAAGATCAGAATAGCTCTGAAAATAGATTCACACAAGATAGAAACACTGCTTTCTAAGTCTATATTACTTTCACAACTTGTCTTAATATTTATTTTTGTACACTTACATACAGTATTGTATTTTGTTTTAGGAAAAACTGATCTAATATAGAGCTTCTCATTATAACGTTTGATTGTTTTTCCAACTCAGAGCACCTGTACTGAAGAAATATAGGGGGTGAATTACTATAGACCTAATCACAATGTTAACCATTTTCTTTCCAAAACTATTGTATATTTCAAACAGCTTGCAATCAGACATCTGTGAGAAATAAATTGGGAAATGTCTGAAAAAGGTTGTTCCACAAATGCTGCATTTTCTTAAAATGTTCTCCTCAGAAGACGACATCACATCGCTACACGAGAGAGGCAGGAGGGAAACTGATAAAGGCCACCTCCACCCTGGTTCCATCCTCTCTGAGCGAGTAGATATTTTTAGATGAGGATTAATTTTAATGGGTAAGATAAGAAGTAAGTTGTGAGTGCAGGAGGGTTTGAATAAATAAGTAAATAGGACATGCCTGAAAACAGGAGGCGACGGTGGCAGCGTTCGTGTGTGGATGTTGAGAGGCCTTGGGCAGATCCATTGATCTGGCCAAGATAGCGAAGCTTTTCATCACTTAACGTTTTCTCCCAGAGCAGGAACATCAATCCTGGGTTTGTCCACAACTTTATGCTACAAACCAGGACAGGCCTTATTAGTTTTAGATTCCTCATTAACAAAAATGGGGTGACATTTAAAGCTTGAACCCCATTCTGGAGAATTGTAATCTCTTTTGATAAAGTTGTTGGAGCAAAGTCAAATAAAACTACTTGGACAAAGGGGAGTGTTTTTTTTTTTTGGTCCTGGCTTAACAACAACAAATGTGTACCTGCAGTTTTTCAAATGTTATGCAACAATGCAAGTTGACCATTTATAAACAGACATACAAAGAAAAGAAAACTGCATGACTCACCTCAAAATGAAAGAAAATCCACAGGAATCATATCATCCCAAAGAGACTGAAACAACAGGCAGGTCCACAAAAATAATGGCATGAAAATAGCTTGCAGCATATGGATAGCAGGACAAAGATTTCTGCTGAACTGTCTGCCTGGTGTTTTGATTCCCCCACTGATCCAGGAGCAAGAAGAGTTTGCAGCTTGGCAGTGGTAGAACAAAAAGAGAGTCTCTGGCTGCAGGTGTGGAAAAAAAAACAAACAAAAAAAGTGATGCTAAGCCAAGTAACCAAAAGAATGGAATCACACTACCGACATTCTTGATTGTTGACATGCTGTTTTCTGAAATGCTGTGCAAGTTTTGTCGGACGTAAAGGAATTTTGCCTCATTGACAAACCTTCAGAAATGTATAAAATAATCCACACATCCACAGGAATGAATGGTCGGCCATATTGTAGAAGTAAAACACTTTTGCTACATGCACTTAAATTATTTACTGACAGTTTGCCAACTGATCTCCGTAACATATTGCATACAATCCCAGTTTTGACGTTTGTCTTCCCACTGATATATTCACTATATTGAAAGCAGGTAATACTTCCATGATTATTTTATGAAAAATAAACTAACTTTGGTGATATATTCTAGCAGTGGAGACTCTAAAACCATTTGGTAAAATGAATAGGTTTATAAACGTGAAAGTGCGATGAAAAAGTACTTCTCAGTCGTAATGGTAATAATAGTAGACAGTATCGCCCATCTGGTACATTTCCCTGTAATGTTGGTCATCTATCAAAGGCCTAAAACTCCCTCTGATCTGCCCTTTGCCGCTGTACAAAAACACATTCATGCAGGCAGAGTCTCAAATGGAGAGATGATCAAATTA